CTGGACGCCGTCTATACGAACAAGGCATTGTACAGTATGATCAGTTCAGAAAAATTATGGATTAGTCGGGATGAAAAGGGACCTGTTCTTTTCATACTCTGAACGTCATATGTATGAAAGTCACTTCGTATAGTATGACCAACACTTAGAATTTTTTTTTTCACAGTTTGTCTATTATTGCTCGTAGGAGGTCATAACTGAACAAATCGTCCCGTATGAAATTAAATCATACAGTATGACTAGTTTAAAAAATTACAAATTTTAAAACTTCTCCAGTATGTGTGTGCACAATTACTCAATTACAATCACACTCTTTCAGACTCAATAAAAGTGAAAATACAGACTTTATTTACAATAAATCCTAATCTAATTCGATTTGAAGTCTTCAACAGTTTGAAATAAGATTTCACTGATATATTAGTACACACAAATAACAAAAATATTATATCCAATATATTTTAGGAGAAAATGTAATTAAAATAATAATATTTGGAATTATAAAAAACACATATGTTGCAATAATCTCAACAATCGAAAAACTAAGTTGCAACAATCTCAACATGTCAGGCCAATGCAGGCGGATTGGCGGGCTATGCAGGCGTGGGCTGGTTACCCACACGCGAACTGGCAGACCAGCGGGGCATTGGCTAGAAAAGATTTTGCTAGAAATGCTCCATAAAATCCGCATGTAAAATGCTATTTTCTTGTAATGTGAGCTTAGATAGGAAATTGAGATTCCATCTCAAGTGCAACAACTCCAAAACATTTGGATGATTTAGATGTCATCAAGAAGATCCAAGAACCAAAGTATATAGTGATCTATCAATCATACACATAATTTGCTAAAATTATCTTAATGGTGCAACAATTATTGACTGGCTATCTAGATTGATATGAGAAATAATTATGAAGGTTTTTTATTTGTTTGATACACAAGTAAGATGCATAAATATCCATTCTTTTTGGCACTACAAATGAAAAGATTTTGAGGGCATATTCACAATGTTTTGAAGGTTTTTTTAGAGATTTGTGTAGATTAGCATCATATAGTTTTCTAATTCATTCTTAGACTTTTTTTTACTTGTTTCCCAAAGAGTTTTTGGCTCATTCAAGACTCTCCTAACTAATCTTTAGCAATCTTTATTTATATTAAATTTAATCTTGTAAGAGTTTTTTGACGCACGACTGGTGTCCTTTCCTTAATCAAGTTGTGGGTTCTTCTACCCTTTAAAAACAAAAGGGAGCTATTCACCTTGTTTAATGAGCTTTCTTGCATAAAAAGTTATTTTTGTATTAGGAAACTACTTTAAAAGTAGTAAGAAAGTCGTCCCAAACGAAATCTTAGTTGCATAACCCAATACCACTGCAAAGGAAGGATTTAGTTGATTTTCAAGGAGAGGTGCATGAAATGTAGATATAGATAGCTGTTGTAGAGCAACATAAAAATATTGATTTGAATTATCTATTTTAAGCTTTTTTTTTTCATCTCCTCACTTTAAATGATTTTTATCCTTCTTGATCATTGATGTTGGAATCATTCAACACTAATGTGGTCAAAGGAAAAGAAATTTTTTGGGTGCATAATATTTATCACAATTGCAAGACCTTAGTAAGCATTTCATCTTATAATATTCATTTTTTTTGGGGACATTTAGATCAATTAAGGCAGATTCACACATACATCGTATACACAAGATTCGAACCCAAAACCTCTTCGTTAGTAGCCTAAGCTTCCAACCAATAGACCAAGGTGAGCTGTGTTATAATATTTATTTCACTAAGCTTTGTTGCCTTAAGCTAATTGGATGAGCACACAAAGCTCATAAAAAATTATCACATAGTGAACCCAAATAGAAGCTTCAGGGCTTTGTCTTCTCTCTCTCTCTCTCTCTCTCTCTCTCTCTCTCTCTCTCTCTCTCTCTCTCTCTCTCTTTTCATTTTGAGCTTATTTGTTTTCTGCTTAAATCAAACTGATCAGATAAATAGTGTATGATTCAGTCTTTTAGAATGTTATTGTGATGCTTACTGTCATTTTTTTTGTCAATTTAAGGGCAATATTGAACTATTATAGTAAGGCTTCATTTAGGCCAGTTTTCATACTGCTTTGAAAAATTTTTTTGTACTAAAACTCTATTTTATAAATAAGTAAGAAGCTGTCCCAAATGAAGCCTAATTATATACATAAAAGATCATAGCCATAAAATAAAATTTAGAAAAATCAAGCTTCATTTGTGATAATTTTTAAAAATATTTTCTAATTAAAACAATTTTTAATTAGCACAAAAATTCCTTGAACTAGAAAATAGCTTTAGAAAGAAGTAAGAGAGCCGTCCCAAATGAAAACTTAATTTTAATGCATTTAAAAGCCTTTTTAGGTTCGTTACGAAGTATTGACTATTTTGGTCTTAAGACACTTTGGTTGCAAGTTGAAAATGGGTGCATAGGCTCCACTTCCGAATATTTATGAAATAGAAAATAAAACCGCTCTATAATAAAATCATTTTTCTCTTTTTAGTCACATAAATAAAATTAAACTTGAAAAAAAAAAAAAAAAAAATGACCTCAAAACTATTTATTCACGCTGTTTTAATCTCATACTATTTACTAAGTTTAACTGCACTGATTAATTATTCAAATTTGACCCAAAATAAATTTTCAACTGCTGAAATCTGATTCAAAATAATTCAACTGCAAGATTATTTCGAATCAGATAGAAACAGTTCAAAAATTATTTTAGGCTTCGTTTGAAATGGCTTTCTTAAAGCTTTCTAATGGAACTATAAAATTTTTTTACTAAAAAAACTTCCTTTTAAAAGCATTAAGAAAGCTATTCCGAACGAAACATTAATCTTTTGAAATAGATTATTCTTCCAAATAGTGAAATAGGATGAAAATTGAATATAACATATGAAAACATCAGAATAATTTATATAATGTAAGTGGGTAAAAGTTATGAAAGGTTTAGATTTGACTTATGTTGAGAAAGGTAGAGGCAGATCTAAAAATACTTGGTTAGAAAATATTAGAAATGACCTTTCTTTATTAGATTTAAACGAGAATTTGACCTTTAATATGACACAATGGAGAAAAAGGATTCATGTAGTCGGCCCCATATAGTGGGATAAATGCTTGATGTTGTTGTTGTAAAAGTTATGAAAGCTATAACAACGTCGCACTAAAGTGTGCAAATTAATCCAATTCTCGAATACAACAACCATTAATTATGGATGGTAGAATCAAGATTAATGTACTGACAAATTCACTCATGAGCTCCTCCTGCCCATAGTCTTCAATTTAGAAGACTCTATATCTTGCAAGAAACATATGGCGTTAGGTTGGTGGGTATATAATTGCTTGCTTTAATGACCACATGGCAATCAGCTAAGTAAATCATTTCTTCTCAGATGAAAAAGTAAAATGGTAAATTTACTATCAATCTTATATAAAATTGTATTTAATAATACTAATTATATATATATTTTGGATCTAAGACAATCATATCCTTAGAACAAATTTAGAGGATTTTTTTTTTAATGACCTTGTTTCTCGATCAAATACTTCAATATGCCACTTTTAGGCTTCTTTGGGGCAGCTTTTTTATTATTTATAATAAAAAAATTTTTAAATTAAAAATTTTTGTACTAAAAAATTGTTTTAAGAAGCTATAAGAAAGCTGTACTAAACAAAATCTTAATCTCTCTGATACAATCGCCAAATCTATGAATAAGAACTAATGCTAGGAAACTAAACATAGGAGATCTACTTATTAATCACAGGTTTCATTGATCTTCTCTTATTAAATGATGCTATGATTGGCTTAATTCTTAATTGTTTTAATGTTTTTAAGAATAGAGTTCTATGGCTACAATTTATGTTTGATATGTCTTCTCCTTCCCCTTTGATTATGGCTCTGCCTTCTTCTTCTTCTCTATATTCACTAACTCAGCTCTCCCATAGATAAGATATAGACAGAGAGAGCAAAGAGAGAAATATAGAAAGAGAGAAACTATTATTAAAATTTATTTTCAATTTCTATATAACTTAGACTTCCGTTTGTCTTTCTTATTATTTTGTAAAGCAGCTTTTAAGTATAAAGTTCACTGAGATAAAATTTTTTATACTAAAAAGCTGTTTTAAAAAACAATAAAAAACAGTCCCAAACCAAACCTTAGGTTTCGTTTGAGATGGCTTCCTTACTGCTTCTTAAAGTAATTTTTTAGTACAATTAAATTTTGTATTAAAAAATTATTTTAAGAAACAATAAGAAAGCCGTCCCAAACAAAACCTTAATGTGTTTGATCAAATAAGTAAAATATTTCAATGCATTCAAGCAAACATTGAAAATACTGATTGCAATATTACCACTACTTCTTCAAGCATGATTATGTAAGAAGTTCAACTGAATTTATTTTAGATAGTTTTTCTAAGGCTTTGTTTGAGAGATGAGAGAGGTTGGTTACTGTTTTCAAAAATTGCTTTCCAGTTCAAATTTTTTTTGTACTATGACTAAATTTGTTAAGAATTTGGCAGTGGTAATAAAATCATTATATATATTTTTTTAAGGAGAAAATTTTTAATAATCACCACATCTATAAAAAAAACTCTAAGAATATATAGTTGTATGAGAAGAATATATATTCCTATACATAATTAGGGTCTTGCTGTACCCTTCTTTAAGATTCAATAAAATTTCTCTTATCTAAAGTAAATTAAATTTTGTAATAAATTAATAAAAAATATAATTAAAATGAGGAAGTTTTTATATAAAATAAACGATGAAAATGGTAAAATAAGCCACCAAATATTGAAAGGAGACAGGCATGAACAGAAGAAAGCAAACTGAAATAATTGTAAAGAAGAAAAATGTCAAATAGTTGCAGGTACTGCTTCGAATAGTCACGAGAAGAATATTTCCACTTCCCTCTCCCCACCTAATTACAAAGCCATCACATAAAACAAAATATCTGCCTCTGTCACTGTAGGCAATTTGTTCTGCCAGATATTACAAAAAGACTTATAGCCTATCAAACAAAATACAATAATCAGATTCCAAAAGGATAAAGATCTCACTTAATTAGCTTAATGAACACAAAGTTCATTTCTTTCATTATTCAATCAACAAGTCCTCATTAGCTCAGGAGGGATAGAAGGGGGAAGAGGAGAAGAACACAGAGAAAGCTCTTATAGCACGTAAGAGCAAAGATCGAAGAAAAAAATTGATGAGTGGGGTCTTACAAGGTCAAGAAAAGGTCTTACAAGGTCAAGAAGGGAGCGGACCAGAAAAAAATACTAGAGCAGAAGATGAATGGTGTGGCAAGAAGAAATATACGACAAAACATACAAAAAATATATAAAAATACAACCTAAATAAAGCTCAGACAGGATAGCACCAGGCTATTATTAGTCATGAGGAGATTTCATAAAAGAAAACCTCTTCCTCCTTCCACAACACAAGCTTTTTAAGAACACCATTATCTCCTCCCTTTCTTGCCTTCTTCTCTTCTTGAAAGTACTCTTATTCTACTCACAAAACAAGCAGTAGTAATTAGACATAGAGAGATAAAGAGAGAGTTTTAGAGATAGATAAGAGAGAGAGAGAGTACTTTACCTGAAGAACGAAAGGGAGAGATCGAGGGAGGCGGAGATGTAAGAGAGAAGGGGTTTTAAAGAGAGTGAAAGACGAGAGAAGGAAGAAAAAGTTAATGGAAGACAACTATATCTCATACAGAGAATATCATTGCCATGCATGAAAATAGTCCTTGTTGTGGCCAATGGTTAGCTCTGATTTAGAAAACTTTCAAGAGAAGAAGCAAAAACCTTTGTCCTCCACCACCCAGTCAAAGATAAAATTATAAATGTAACCCTCAGGCTTTTTTACTTTGGAGAAAGGGAGAAACAGAGAGAGGGAAAATACTGAGAAGAGGCAGAACCATAAAAGCTTCACTATTTTTGGAGATGGGAGCAAAAGTATAAGAAAAAGTAATTGCAGAGTTCGCGTTATGTGAATCTGTACTATAGAGCTTAGATGGAGAAACTAATAGAAATATAGAATACAAATTAAAAAGAATATTATGATAGAATTTGATAATTACTTTGGTTTTTATTGGGATAATTTTTTTATTATTTTTAAAACTAAATTTTTAGTAAAAGTATTTTTAATTCAAGAAGATTTTATGTTAAAAAATTATTTTATAAAACATAAAGAAAATTATCCTAAATAAAGCCTTAATTTATTTTGAATATTATGTAATATAAATTTTTTATTTCAAAATAGATTTACTATTTTTTAAATTTATATAATTATAATTTATATTATAACTTTTGAAATATTTATAAATAAAATTAAAATATATTAGAAATTTTTTAAATGAAATTATGATTAGTTAAAATCATAAAAAAATTATTCCAAACAAAACCTAAATATGATCAAAGGAAGGCTATTGGGCTGTGCTCTGTCAATTGTAAAAGTGGAAAGTAAGAAGCCAATTTGGTGGATTGCAGGGGCGGATCTGGCTTCATTTTTTAGGATAGACAAATAAAACTTTTTTGTGGGGATAGACAAAGATGCTTATGATTGATAAAAGAAGGGCAAAAAATTTTTTTTGGGGCGGGGGAATGCCCAAAATACTCAAAATATTTTAAAATATCCCCTCTAAATATTTAAATTTTTTTTTTATTTGTCCACTCTAAGTCTTTGGTGGATCTGCGTATGGTGGATCGAGATGTGGCTATGAGGTTGATTAAGAAAAAAAAACAAAACAAAAAGCCTGTATGAGGTAGACAGCGGATCAGTGCAGCCGGCAGCGAGCGGGGATTGGGTAACAGTTGACATGCCACGTGCTCCGCAACACGTGTGGAGGTGAGAGTGCCTGGCATGTCATGCGGGAAAGAAGTGTGCACATTTACGTTGACAAAGTATTAGTTTATTTCCGTTGGATTTGCTTGAAAGTCGTGCAACGTGAAAAGGATGGGTTCTCAAAGCGGTCACAGTAGTTGTAGTAGTAGCGTGGTTTCACTGATTCTTTGAATGGTTGAATTGACCGTTTTACTCTCAGGTCTTGCTCCAAGTGCGAGCATATTGAAAATTTGAATTATTTATAGGAGGAATTATCCCCAAATAAATGGAGGTCATAAAGCACAAAATATATTTGAGAATTAAGAAAAGGAAAAAAAAAAGGAGGCTCAATGGTATAATATCCTAATATATAGCAATTGTGAATATTATATATGTAAGTAATATAAGGGCCTACAATGTAGCATGTGCTTCAAATTATTACACTCATTTTGATCTGGCCAGTTAAGCCTCGTAGGTTAGAGCTTTCTGCGTTTCCTTCTTGCACATATTTGTTAGTGTGTAAATGCATGAGATATGTTACAAAGCATGTACCAATAGTCTTTGTACATGAAACTTAAAACTTAAAATTTTTCATTGGAAGAGCCCGACAATGAAGCTTTGAGCTTTCTATAATTTAAAATTTAACGAGTGCACTGCGGTGCTCGATCAGGGCGCTGCGGCACTGTGATTTTTGTTGAGAGCATTACTAATCCACTTAAAATTCATTTGGTCGAAAAAATCCCCCCTACGCGCTCGTGCGAGAGAGAGAGAGAGAGAGAGAGAGAGAGAGAGAGAGAGAGAGAGAGAGAGAGAGAGAAGGATTTAGAGAGAGAAAAATGAGTTTGAGCGACTTTGATCTATTTTTTGTTGCCAGTCCAGTTTAGGAAGTTGTATAGATAGATGAGGTTACATTCTACCCATCTCACTTTTTAATTACACAAAAAATTGAGATTTTTCTGAGTACAATTATTAAATCAGGTTATAAAAATGGCAATAACTTCACAATTTTGAGTAATTCCAAAAATATAATATTTCTACTCAATCTGCTAAATATTTTGGTTGTTTGTATAATATTCTACATTACGATTATTTCCACTTATTTAATTGAAATATAATTATATATATATGGGCATAGATGCTTGAAATAGGTGATTCTAAGGAGTTTTGGTGTGGGGAAAAGTTATGTTATGTTGAATGCATTAGGAGCTACAATGGCTTAAATTTCTAATTATCTATTGTGCTAAGCATTTGGAAGCTATAAAAATATATTTTCTAATAAGCTCACACATAGTATCATAAGGGCTGAAATTTTAATACCTATGTCTAATTGAAGACATAAGGGCGATCTGAGGAAAATATGCTAAATTATGTTTTAATATATGAAATAATTTTTTTATTTAAATTTTATGTAAGGTTTATTTAATTTCAATTATATATCATTATCACTTTGTTCAGTGCAATAGCTTATTAATACTACTTTTAAATTTAGTTAAATGAAGGTTTAGTTAAGTATTACAAATTTAGATTGGTGGGTGTGACTTACTAAGTTATATTGGCTCACACTTATTCTATATTCTATTTCATCTAAGGTAAGGGTAAAGAGTTAATTGAGTAGCGAATGTTGCAAGATCTGATTGTTAGAGTCGACATAGGTATTTTCTTTTTTATTTTATTTTATTTTGTGTAGTCATGACTGATTTCTGATTTATTATTTTTGTTTTTTTTTTTGTTTTTAGCCATGTGTTATATTGTAGATATTTTGTTATGTATATATTTTGAGAATGAATAAAAGAGAAAATTTTGGACGAGTATATTTTTTATTCATTGAAAGATAAATAATAGCTTGCTATCTATTAATAATTAAAGAACTTTGAATGGTTCCCCAAATTTAATATTGGGATTGGTCTGTCACTATCCAACACAATATAACATATTTTGTCTGTAGGTTATATTTGGGTTAGGTTGTGATAGTCTGTATATTGTATAAGAGTAATGATTTTGGAGAACTAATTATAAACAAAGCTACAAAAATTAAATTGTTGTCAAGTGAGGTACTTCTGGGTAATGTTGGATAATCATTTTATTTTATTTCACGTGCATGTTCTATTTAGCTGTGTGCATTATGTGTGATTATCTAATAAATCAGCAAGACCTATACATGACTGAAGAGCAGAGTGTAATTAAGCTACGCCTGTACAGAATACTACTCCTACTGATAGTTCTGATTCGATATCCCAGTTCGCTAGTGTAACGCTGAAGATCTAAGGGAGGAGTTTAACCTACTTTTTTTTATATATTTATTAATTCTCAAATCAACATCTCATTTCACTAGAAACCAACTAATCATTCAAGATAATATGCAACCAAAACACACACGCGCGCACACACACACACACGCACACACACATATAACATTCTTCCAAAATACTTAATTAATAATATTTAATATTACAATGATTTTAATAAAAGACTTAAATACCATATAAACTATTAAATCATATGTACCTTACAAAATCAGGTTTCCTGCTCCTTATCAAACTCAATCTAGTCAACTGGACCTTTGCATTTGTCTGCAATATTTTAATTAACATAATGAGTATAAAACACAGTAGGCCAACCCATTCCCCCCATAATAAAATTCAATTCAGAGTTAAGAATAAAAAATAATGACATAATAATTGTACTGTTTACTCCATAATTTTTCATCTTAGGTTACATATGAATATGAGTGAAGAAATACATACATGTTAATGTCGACTAATATCTTCCATTTGCTACCTCCCACCAGCTTAAGAAAGGTGCAAAGCGAAGCCAAAATAAAGTAGAGCATGTTCTAATATAAAATCATATGAAGGACAAAATATAATTGAGTAGTACATAACAAAAACACATTGCCTTTGAACTAAAAAAAGAATTCAAATTGCACTTTCATTTTCATAATTGAGTTATAGAATTATATCAATTGCATGATGATACAATAAAATGCTCCACTGAGAAATTTAAAGCATATAAATACAAGTCATCATATTTAATTTATACAAAAAGCTCCAATTTAAGAATCTATTCAAGCATTTTTGAATTTCATAAATTTCATAAAGAGTATATGTAATACTAATTTAACATATTTTATCAACAACATTAAGGTTCAAAAGTGAAAAAATTACCAAAAAAATTTAGAAATTCATACAGAGCATGCCGACCTACAATGAAATTTTGTATTCTGATAATCAAATTGACTATAATAGAGGGTATAATAATATATGACAAGTTATACGGTGAAACATTCTTTGGACTCGTGAAAGATATATTTTTAGTCAAATTGTATTTTTAAAACTTTGGAATCAAAATCAAAAGTAAAGTATGGGTTTCCTAAGCCCTCACAATTTTCCTAATTAGTTAGAGAGATGGTTTTTGGATCTCAACCTCTAAAGGCTCTACCCCCTTTTCTCTCTCTTTCCATTTCATCTCCATTCTTCTTTGATAAGGTGGATCAAAAAATGGGTTATGAAATGGATTTAGATATTTTTAATATTTAAAAACCACTATATAAACCTAGCGCCACAGCGCCGCCTTGCTATCACTTTTGCACTTCAAAAAAATCTTTTAGATTCTTCTAGATTATGCTCACCTAAAACTTGGCACCACAGCGCTTGACCAAAACCTATTTTTTTATTCTAAAACTTGAGAGCTCAATCTCACGGTGCTACCAATCTGGCCGCCATAGCATCAACAGAGAAATTTTTATAAATCAAGTTTCCACTCCCCCGGCCAGCCTAATTCTTGAATAATTCAAGATTCCCTTAAACACTCTAAAATATATAATATCTAATCAAAATTATAATTAATAGTTATTAATGAAAATTATCTTTATTTATGTTGACAGATATTACATCCTCCATTCCTTATAGAAAATGTCATCCTAGACATTTCTAATCAGACCATATTTAGGTATAGTTGCCACAT